AAGGAAGTTACACTGCGCAATGAGCTGCACCCCCATAAATTGTCTTTTGAAACTGATCAAGAAAGTGAAAGGATCCCAAATTCTTTCTAGTTTTCAGCTCTACTTTGGAATTTAAAGATAAATTTTTCATATGCTGCTGTATGAATAATTAAATCTAGTCATTTTGTGAATCATTGTCTGCCTCCTGAGCCCCTTATGTTGAACAGATATAGATACCAAACGGCTCCATGTGTGATCAGAGCAGGAAGAAAATAAAGATTTCAGCAAAAATCTAGTTCTCCAGCAGTTCTGGGATTTTCAATGTCAAACCTCACCAGCTTTTTCTTCACTTGCTCTTCTATTAAAAAGCATGTTGTACGCCTGATGAGGCAAAGAATTCCCAAAATATGCAAAGGAAATTGCCAGGCAAGAAAATGTTCAAGATGAATTGCTGCTTAATTCCCATGTATTCTGTAACTGCATCTGATTCTTTCTGATTAAAAGGGATCACTCCCTGTTCTCAAATTCCTTGCAAATAAAGTTCAGGGGACAAGCATCAGCTGAATATGGTAACTTGAAGATGGTGATCTAGTAAGATCCTTGCCACTTCGTCAGGGATCTTTCTGTTGTCCTTAAGTTACCCAGCCATGCAATAGCAGGTGCCTTCAAGAAATTATTCCTGAAGAAATCAAATTACCTATGATAATCTGGAACAAAGATAGGAAGCTTCATTCTTTCTGCTGTTATCATCTGTTAAGTTGTTATCAGCACTCTAAATATTCTGGTAAACTGCTGCTTTTGCACTACAGCAAGCTAGAAAACTTGTACAAACTCTTTTGGCCCATCTCCAAATCTCCCAGATGTAAGAAGAATAGGATTCTGAAGCACCACTAGGGAATTGTTTTGTCTAATCCCGTTTTCTTGGAAACTGTTATTCAAGGCTGTACAGTATCTCGTGCTGATGGACTGTGTCCAAAGGAAAGAGCTTCAGTAGTAACCTAGTCTCCCCCTACCGTTGCTAAGAGCTCCTGAGACCATTCCCCAAGCTGTTCTCTCCATGTCTGAGTGCACTTTTTTGTGCTCTGCACTGCCAGGTGAAGAAACATGTGCGCAGTTTCCATTCGGAAAAGATTTACCAGTGTACAGAATGCGACAAGGCTTTCTGTCGTCCCGACAAGCTGCGGCTCCACATGCTGAGACACTCGGACCGCAAGGACTTCCTGTGTTCCACCTGTGGCAAGCAGTTCAAGGTAATGTACCTAATGGATTGTGGCATTCCTGATGGGAGAGTGGATCGCTGCTTTCTCCCTCTTTTGTCAACCTGATTGTCATCTTGGAAATGGAAGCAGTCAACCCAGGTAGACATGCTAGGTTTGCATGTGATGTGTATACTGAAGCATACAAGTTGTAAGGAAGCATGATTCTCTCTGCTCTGGCCTGAATGAGTTGTTCATATATCATCTCTTGTAATAAGCTTGTTTAACGTCCCTGGGACAGCTCCATCTATCTTCCATCTACTTGTAAAGAGTCTGCTCATTTCATAGCTTAAGCGAAAACACCATTAATGTGCTGCTCCTCATTACTTGGTTTAGAAAGCCTATTTTACTGACACCAATGGATTAATAATCCAAAGAAACCAAGAAAAATAAATTGTAATGAACCGCCATGGATGTTTAGCCCTATAATTACAACTCCAAGTAGAAGTTCGACTATAGACATTTTAAAGGGACAGTATGAAGCTGAGCTGAATCACCAGGAAGCTGGCAAAGGGAAGCTAAAATCCTGTAAATGCATGAAGGATTTTTCCAGTTAAAATAATGGTATCAGTCTGGTCATTGTGAAACTGCAGGTGCTTCAACCTTTTAAAAGTTAAAATGACCCAATCATACCATCAACAATTAAAGGTCAGGTAAAATAGTGTTATCTCTGTTGGCCAAGGAAAGGATTACTTTGTAGGAAAAGTAACGGAACTGGGAAGATGTAATAAGTAGTGATGCTGAGAGCAAGGCATTTTTTAATCTCTTTAAGTCTCAGATTTCCCCACGGTGTGTGATTAATATAGAATTTATGGTATCTTTGGAGGATTATTTTATACTTGTAAAGCATTTGGAGATGACATCGTGCATAATGGTGTAAAATGTTACTACACTGTTATGTATTATTATTATAAAGCCATTCTCAACAGAGGTAAGATCACCCCTAGTAGTTTCTGTTATCGTAAGGCAGAATGTAGGAATAAATAAAGAAGGTAAAATGACAGCCACATAGTGTGCTTTTAAATAGAACTCCCCAGTAGCATCACATGCATTGTTACTTTAAGTAGAGCAAATAGCAGTTTCCCACAGTATTTTCCCCTTCCATTATGTATGTACTTGTGAAAAATGCTATAATTTAGCCCTGGAAATCTCTGTCCACAGTTAGCCAATACAGGTGCCAAGCCTCAGCTCTGTCTTCAAGGGGCAAGTTTCACTGCCATCAACAGTTATGCTTTTGTGCCAATTCAGGTGATGAGGATTATCTTGCCACTAGGAACTGGACTGAGATCTATGGGCTCATCTTGCACAGAACCCCAAATTAGTATGAGCTGGGTAACAGCTTTCATTCCCTATCAGCCTGAGCTGGAGTTGGACCAGAAACCAGGAAATGAAGAGTTCTGAAACTTAGCAATTCTGAGTCTGAGTCCCACAGTCATCAGTGAAGCCTGCAGAAGCAGAAGTTTCCAGCCTGCAGTGCTGCATCAGTTCTGTAGCAGCCTGATGGACCCCTATATAGGATGTATTTTGGCCACTAGCCCTTAAGAAACAAATACTGTAAATGCTGACCATTTTTCTTCCTTTCTCACTGTTGCCCTGAACAGAGAAAAGACAAGCTCCGGGAGCACATGCAAAGAATGCACAATCCAGAACGAGAGGCCAAAAAAGCTGATCGAATCGGCCGCTCCAAAGCCTTCAAGCCTCGGATAGCTTCTACTGACTATGAGAGCTTTGTGTTCAAATGTCGACTGTGCATGATGGGGTTCCGGAGGAGAGGCATGCTGGTCAGTGTCCACATTAGAGCAATAAACTTTGTCACTTAAAAAATGGTTTGCTGCACCTAACAATTTCTGATTTTCAGGGGATTAGAATGCAGGGTGTAAAAAAAACTGTCAGGTTCTTATAAGATGTCCTTTCTCTCCTGTTTAGTTTGCCCTCTCCCATATCCAACCATCTCTCCCATTTTATCACATCTGTTTCTTTCATGTCTACTTGTCTATCATGTCTTTAAGGTGCCTGTCATCATGGTATCTAGGCACTGTGATTTATAATGGGGCCATCATAGTGGTGTCTGAGCACCAAGTATACAATTAATAACAATTACAAACAAGATGCAGGCTTTATCATTCGGTGTCTGTACATTGCTCTGTTACTAAATGGAGTTTCTTTGGGCCCTCCTTCTGCCCCCTACCATCTTTCTTTCCTTTTTTTTCCCTTTCCATTCTTCCTGTGAGGGTCCTTTCCCAGCCATTTCCTTTTATTGTGGGGGAGAAAAGGGGCTGTGCAAACAGACTTCATGCTGCATTCCTTGAGGACTCAAGCAGATTATGATCCCTGCTTGGAAAGGATTCTACAACCAGGGATCTCCTGCTGAGAACACTTTACCCCCCAGCCCTGTGGAGTTTAAGCCCATTCCCTTCCTTTTCTCATCTTTGATCCTGCATGAATGTGATCACTTCTGGCCCTCCTTGTGAGGTTACCAGAGAAGAGGCTGAGTGCTTTGGGGACCTTATTACAGATTCCTGCTGCAGTGCTGCCCTGAGTCAGCCAGTCAGCATTTGAAATTGTATCTGACAAAGGATTTTCTCTTGCATTGACTCAAAGCGAATTAGGCTAGTGTGTATAGGGAGAATTCAGCTGAGGGAATGTGTACTGTAGTAATGTTGCTTTTCCCTTCAGCAGTTCTTTCAGCCAGAGAAATGGTAAATGGGATCTAGTATGACCAGGTTAACCTTCAGCAGTTGACCACAAGTGTATGTTAACCCCGTGGCATCAGATGAGTTATGTGCTGCTGGTTAGCAACGGTGCATTTTCCTGGTGGGATGTGATATTGCAGAAACGCTGACTTTCCATGTCCACAAGAAGAGGCAGTTGTATAGCTTCCAGCTGTAACATGCTCGCTATTCTGTTTTCTTTCTTTCTCTTAGGTGAATCATTTATCAAAGAGACATCCAGACATGAAAATAGAAGAGGTGCCAGAGCTAACATTACCCATCATCAAACCCAACAGAGATTACTTCTGTCAGTATTGTGATAAGGTATGTAAGAATATCACACATTAGAGTGTAGCACAGCTATAGACTTATGTGTAACAAATTTGTCTATGTGTAGACATCTGGCAGAGCTTGTCATTTTCTTGAGAAAATATCTAATTGAACTGGCCAGTGGCATTATTCCTGCCAGCACTAGCAAAGTAGACATGAAAATGAAATGCTCTGAGACACCTGAAAATTGAGTTCTGTTTCTCTCCTCTTTGTTTTGGATATTTTTGTAGTCTGTGGAGCTTGAAGGTTTTAAGGGCACAGTGGCAGACCTCTTTGTTGATGGCTTTGATCTAGTAGAACATATGCATATGTGTAATCCTGTTCAAGTCTTTGCACTGCAGAAGGCTACGGGCCTGATTTTCACCAACTACTCCTTTTGGCTTGCAAGTGTCTAAAAATCAGGGCCTATGTCCTTTTATTAGGAGCTGCCTACTTCTTAGCCATATGGCAGTGATTCTCAATATTCAGGATAGCCTGCAGCTTCCTTTGCTTTGGCTTTGGATACTTACACTTTCAGGGTGCAACTTACTCACTGAGCTCCATTTTTATGTAGGCTTTCATTTATCATGGAAAATGCCCCAGCATGTCTTGTCCTCTGTCACCGATGCCAGAGTCTCTGGTGTACAGGAGAGCCCTGTTCCTAGCAGGATGCTTCCCAGATTTGTTTAGCTTGCTATTTGTTTTTGCTTTTTTTTTTAATTACATGATTACACAAGATTATTATGTTGGGTTTTGTAGCTTCCATGCTACATCTAATGAGACTAGATTTAGAAGAGTCCTGCTGATTACTTGAGGTTATTAAAAAGTCTCTAATACTTTAAGCAAGAGTACGTATCCCCAGTGGCTGGACAAATTCCAGTTTGGGTGGTTACAGTCCCAGTCCCTGACATTTCCCTTTAGAGTATCAGTTGAATAGAGTTTTCCTCACTTCCTGACTGAATTAATTGTTTAGTACTGATTTACTGCACACTGTCAAACAGTTACCACATTCCACCCTAGAGGGAGTTGCTCTCAGTAGCTGACAAAAAGGTATGATACTTGTGTGTATGCATGCATGTGTGTATAGATAAAACCTAAAATATTTGTAATAACAATTGAATATGGATATTTTATAATATCCCTATTAATGGAGACAGGTTAACTTTCTGGATGGAAACAAACAAATGCTATCTGTTTTCTGCACTGCCATCAGTGTTACACTGCTCTCATTCCAGTCATTTATCCTGCAGGTGTACAAAAGTGCCAGCAAACGCAAAGCACATATCTTGAAGAACCACCCTGGTGCTGCCCTACCTCCAAGTATCCGGAAATTACGCCCGGCAGGCCCAGGCGAGCCAGACCCCATGCTGAGTACCCACACCCAGTTGACAGGCACAATAGCTACTCCACCTGTCTGTTGTCCTCACTGTTCCAAACAATATAGTAGCAAGGTACAGTGAATGTGTCCCTGCTTCCAAATGCTGCTCCTCCCCTCTCTTCCCCTCTCTCTCCCCCTCCTCCCCAATGATGTCTAGTCATTGTCCTTGTAATCCATCAATCCAGGGGGCTTGCTCTTTCATCATGAGTCAGACAAATGATTTCAAACTGAGTGCTAACAATGTTGTGAGCAGTTTACTATATTTACAGTTTGCAAAGGAAGGGACTGTTTAGTGGTTAGATTAGGAAACTGGTGGGGTCCCTGGGTTCTATTCCAAGCTCTGTCTTGAATTGCTGTATGAGGTTGTGTAAAGTACTCCATCTGTCTGTGCTTCAGCTGGGGGAGATAATCCTTGCTTTTCCTGGATAAAGGAGTTTCAGCGTGATTTCACCGCCCCCCTTTTCTAGGGCTGAGTCCTGACAAATTTTGGTTTTCCAGAAGCAGACTGACAGGGTACAAACAGGGCTTTCACTCAGCATTTCATGCCTCTGCCAATTTTTTAAATAAATCTGAATATTTGCCTGGATTTTCAGTAATGCTTTCTGATTTTCAAATGCCTGACTTTTGGGTAACCTGGTTCAGATATCCTGGGTCTGACTTTAAGAGATGATGGGCGTCCACAAGCTCCAACCACAGATTTTCAGCACATCTCAAAATAGGCTAGTCATCCAGAATATCAGGGCTGTTTTAGAGAATGTTGCCCGCAGGTCTGATTATTCAAAGATGTACTTCTAGATTTGTTTGGGCAATGGATTTCTTTTTTTGAGGTTGTTAGAGAGGAAAGAGAGGGTCAGTGACAGAAGAGAGGCTTTCTTCTGTCATCTCAGAAGGGTGTGTACTTGGCACATGTAGTTGGCAGTGCTAATGAAAGGATTTCAAAGAATCACAAAGTTTGAGGCAAGGTCTGCTTAATACAAACCCACAGTGCTTTTTGTTTCCTCATTGGTCCCTTGAGCATTGCATGGTTCGAATTACAATGCTCGTTGTTCGGGCAAAGCAAAGAGCTAAGATTCACACAACTGCTGATTTCACTTGCATCAGAGATGATCTGTTGGCCTGCTCCCTAATTCTCTTCTACATCTTTCCACAGACCAAGATGGTACAACATATTCGCAAGAAGCATCCTGAGTTTGCTCAACTCCCTAACACAATACATACGCCATTGGCAGCAGCTGTCATCAGTTCTACGCCAGCAGTTTTAACCACTGACAGTACCACTGGAGAGACAGTTGTGGTAAGGATGAAAAAAATGTTAAACTGGGCAATGCAAGTGAAACAGCCAAAGATCCTGGGTTGTAGCTATAAGCACTTATTGACACTGTCACTTTGGAGTTATGAACTTTGTCAAGAAATTACTATAAATCAATGATTTGGGGCCGTTTTAGACTCAAGGCGCACCTTGGAATGTCAACTCTTAGTTTTCACTTGATTTTTGATAACACAAAAATAATAGAGCAATTCTTCTGTTGCAAAGAACTCGGGAAGACCACAGCAGGCCAGAATGCTTTTTAACACTCTGGAGTCCTATGTGAAATCTCTGGGTTTATGTTATGAATCACGTTTGCATACCTAACAGTGCTAACATTGGGCATCTATACAGGTGCTCCGGGGTGGTGGGTGGGAGTGCTTTAATTAGAGTGGCTTTGAGAGCTACTCTAATTAAAGTGCCCACAGCATCACATGTATTCAGCATCCTGCACTTCCAAATGGTGGCCAGGGCGATTGAACTAAAGTTCATACAATGAGCTTTAGTTAAAGCACCCCTGCTGGAATTTTGAAGTGCGGGGACACTGAGGCTCCTGGAGCGCAATTTAATCAAGTCTGCTGCAACATGTGCTAATTAGCATGCATCAGAACAGATGTTTGGCATGTGTATAGGTGCCCATTGTGTGGCACTCCAGGGCACCCCTGGAAGGATCTCAAGGTACTGTAGCCCTACTTAAGAAGCACTGCTGTAGATCCGAGTACCAAACTCTTCTGACCTTGTGGCCAGATGAGTGGCATGGGACCAGACCTGGGCCAGAAGAATGGTCAAGGGCTGGCCCCTGCAGGCTGCACTGAGCCCACAGCACCCTCCCTACCCCACATGCCAGAACCAGTGCCTGTGGCACTTGCGCCAGCTGGTCCAGGATTGAGTTACCTGCAGTGGACACTCTGGCCAGATCAGATGAGAGCTGCATGTGGCGCTCACTTCAACTGGTCCAGGGTGGACCCTGCATGCAGCGTGTGTCCCAGACTGGCTGGAGGAGGCACCAAATCTCTTGCATGTGAGGGACCTATGGAGCCTTCCCCCACAGCCCCACATGCTGGATCCAGTGCCCGGTCTACCCAGTCCAGGACTGCAGTGCCTACTTTGGGATCTATGCTGCATATGGTGCCTCCCCTGGACTGATTGGAGGAGGCACTGCTTGTGGCACAGTCCCAGAGCAGGTGCTGCATCTGGCATGTGAGGGAGAGGGGTCCTGGACTGGCCCTGGGGACTGGATGATGTGGCTCTGCAGGATGTGTCTGATATCTTTGCTATAGATCATTCCTGCCATTGAAGTTTTACATTATGTTTTTGATCTCCCAGGGAATTTATATTTCCATTTTTTAGAGCTCTGAGGATGTACTTGTTTCCTAAGTCCGGTTTCTCCTGTTCTCAATATCCATAGGCTGGAGACTCAAATGACACTTTCGAATGCACCTAACTGACTTAAGACTACAAGTCCCAGTGAAAATCTAGAGAACCTGTGCTCTTAACACACACAGTCAGTTTGGAAAATTGTGTCTGTCCTCTGCCCTGATGGAGGAGGACCGGATGCAGCTCCCTTCAGTACAATGTGGAGTGAATATAATAGCACCCTTTAATCAATCAGATGGGTGCTGTTGAGTGATATGAGCCTCTCACCATCAACCGCAGTTAAGCTTGTGGCTTCCACAACATAGCAGCTGTCAAGACAGTGAAGAGAGAGGCTAGAAAATTGATCTTGTGTCTCCTCAATGGCACTAAGTGTTGGAGGGTGGCTCCTCTGCAATATTTTAGAAACCAATTATCCACACACAAACCATTATTTCAAGATTGTGCATTGAAGCTATAAATAACAGTGACCATAGTTTGCTTGAAACAGGGCAGATTCACCTCTGTCCTATTCACCCTGCTCCTGGTTTGATGCATCTCATTAGCTGAACATTATGTTTTACCTCATATTCTGTAAATAAGGTAACACATTTTGCTCCAGTGGGAAAAGTTAGTTGAAATATGTTTGGAGAACATATTCTCCAAGCACAGATTGGACCCTGGGGCAGACAAAGTTTCCATTGCCATAAAGAATAATTTAGAGCTGGCAAATATAACAACTGTATTTTCTGTGCATTATGATCACACTTAAACATCTCAAGCAGGATCTGGGCAGAACAAGCGCTCCCAGTGGCATCATTGCTGCCAGACTCCAATTAAGCAGAGCTCCATGTGCAGTAAGCTCTTGTAAATAACTGATTAGTTTCCAGTGATTCAGATTAGGTTTCCAGAGCTCTGAAATAATTACAAACACGTAAAGGATTCTGCCCAGCAGATAATATTGGATGATGAACTCTGTTTCTCTCTCCCCACCCCAGACAACAGATTTACTGACCCAAGCAATGACAGAACTGTCCCAGACCCTCACAACAGACTATCGAACCCCGCAGGGAGATTACCAGCGAATCCAATACATCCCCGTGTCCCAGTCCACAGCTGGCCTGCAGCAGCCCCAGCACATACAGCTGCAGGTTGTGCAAGTGGCCCAGGTAGGTTTCTTACTAATGACTAAATTGTCTCTTACCTCCCTGAGTCCTAAATTGTGCCACAGTTCTGAAGATTTTTTTTTTTTAATTTCCTGATGGAGAAAGGTAGATATTGTCGGGAGACTGATGCTCTGGGTTTTATCCCTAGAAAAATACAGAATTAGTGCAAACTTCCCTCATATTCCACATTTACCATGTATTCTACCTTTGTTCTGATGGGAAAGGATGTAGAATGTGATATAGAGGTTTCTGTGGTCCATTCTGTTTTTGGCATCTGATGAAGCTTCCAAGAAGGAGACCAGTTATGGAAATAATATCTGATGAAGTAGGTTGTTGCCTATGAAAGCTCATGCCTCTGAACCAGTTAGTTTTTAAGGTGCCACCCTGCCCTGGCTTCTGCTGGAAATAATCTCTGGTGTAGACACTAGTGCACTACTTTAGGAGGAAGATCACCATCTCTTCTTCAAACAGGCACCCATACAGCCGTCACTGAGGTTTGCGACCCAGGAGTTGGTAAAGTGTATCAGTGGGTGATCCACTTCTACATTTGTGAGCAGTAACTTGTAGTTTTTTATTTTTAAGGCCCTGGAGCCAAAATTTGGAAGTTTGGAAAGTGTTTGCTTTACTTTTGCATTAACTGTTGGAGGATTCATTCTCTGTGACGTTTAGTAACTGCCTCAGAAATAAATGTAGAATATAACAGGATTAGCTGATCTGGGGGAAATGGACTTCAGGCAGCTCTAAGTACGCACCAGAGCCCTTTTAAATCTATCAGTTGCTGATTGCTTGGATGGATCTGAAATTGCCAGGTAGTTGGTATTTAAGTCTGAAGGCTGAAGCTGTCTCTTGTCTTTTTTTTTGTTTCTCCTTTTTAGCAATGCCACGCCTCTTGTTAGTGATGCCCTAAACAATATGGCCATTTAACATTATTAACAGATGAAGATTTAATGATGCAGCTGTTTTGAATTCTGATGGCTGCAGTTTTCCATTATCTTAACAAGATGTGATGCCTCTAATTAAATTACTATATTAATTAGAAGGTGTTGCCCCAAAGAGTCTTTAATAAAATAATAGAAATTACTCCTCTTCTGTCTGATGTAGATCTGTAGCTAATCATAGCATGTTCTTAAATGTGTGAATACATATATTTACGGGGAGGGAGTTGCTTAGGGCACTGTCCTAACTCTTGGGAGACCTCGCCACAGGATCCATTCTCTGCTGTAGGTGTCTTGTATGATCTTGAGCAAGTCACTTAGCCTTTCTGTTTCCTCACCTGTCAAAGTACTTTTAGTAATTAAGATAATTGTCCATTGCAGCTTCTAAGTTTGTCATTCGGCTTCCATCATGCCACAGTTTTCTTGCGTTGCTTAAAAATGAGCAATATCCTCCCTTTGTACCACACATTGATCACTGGGGATTCCTCTTTAATATTTTTAATTTGGTAGTGCCCAGAGGTCCTGATCAGGATCATGGCCCCATTGTTCAAAGCATTATACAGTAAAATGATGGACACTGTCCCTTGCTCGAAAGAATCTACAGTTTCTATCTCTGTTTTGATTTGTCCCAGGCTACCTCACCTCACCAGTCCCAACACTCTACTGTGGATGTTGGACAGCTGCACGACCCTCAGACGTACACCCAGCATGCCATCCAGGTGCAGCATATCCAAGTCACAGAGCCAACCTCAGCAACTCAGTCATCATCACAGGTATCCCACACTTTTAGTGTAAAGAGAATTACCCATGACAGGATGCACAAGCTGAAACCTTGGACAGCTCAATCTGCAGCAGCTTTATCCATAGCATTCCCCTTGAACTCCCATGAAGAACTGCCCATGAAGTGGGTGCTCTTTGAAATCATTAGATAGTTCCCAGTTGGTCCAATTTATCATACCATATGCAGGGTAATTATGGAGACACAGTGGGTGGGCATATTTATGTCTCCATATGATTAAGGCAGTGTGACACATTAACAGATGTATGAATATGGGCCATCCCCACAGGGAACCTCAGGGAAATAGGTGCATCATCTGAAGGTTTTGTTATACATTAACTTGAATATGTGTTAAGGGCCCTTAAAACAGAAGCGTTCACACATTAGGGCAGAGAAACACAGTGCTAAGGGTCCTCAGAGTGCCTCAGAGATAATCCTCTTCCATTGAGGATTGTCTGTAACTGGTTTTGGGCAGCTCACGTTGCAGTCATGTATGACTGCTCCATAGGCCCAAAGCCAGTTGGGAGGGGTCCTCCAGCATCCCAAGAGGAACCACTTCCAGCCGCTCTATCTTTCTTCATAGTGACAGCACTATGAAGGTAAGAATCTCTCCTCTCCTCCCACTCCAGGTTCTTCCTGGCCCCCAGGTCTCCCCCTGTTCCTGCTCCCACTCCTGGGGCTCCTCCTCTGCCCCCACCCCACTGGTCCTTTTGGCTTGCCTCCGGTTCCTGTGTCTCCCAGCTCACTTGTAGCTTCTGGTACTGTCCTAGGGGAGCAGGGAGGGAAGAGGAACTCACCTGCCTAGCCACCACCACTGTGGCTGGGCTACTACTGCTCTTCAGGCTAAGCCCAGCCCAGCCCAGAGGATAGCTGGAAGGCAAGTTCCCCTTCCCTGCTTGCTCTGCTGGGACAACTCCAGGAGTTGCAGGTGAGCTGGCTGCTGGAGGGGTGGAGGATGTGTCCAATCTGAGGATGCAAGGGGGCTGGCCTTATCTGGGGGTGGGGCAGGCAGTGCGGTGGACCCAATCCTGGGAGGAGGGGGCATTGGTGGTGTGGCAGGTCTGATCTGGGGAGAGGGAGCAGACACTGAGCCCAGTGCCAGCTTGATCCAGGCGTGTGGGGGGGAGTGTGAACCCCTTCTCCCACTGTCCTGAATTGGGCTTGCACCCTGGATCTGTGCTCACTGTCCCTTTCCCCTCATCCCAGGATCTCCTGGCTTAACCTGTGGCTTCTGGCACTGACCTGGTGAAGCAAGCAGGGAAGAAGAACCAGCCTGCCACCACTAATTGCTCTCTGGGCTGGTCTCAGCCCAGAAAGTAGTAGTGGCCTGGTGACAGTGGCAAGTGGGTTCATTCCCCTTTCCTGCTGCTCTCCTGGGACATCTGTGGCAGTACAGGTGAACCAGGGGACATGCAGGTGTAGGAGTGAACCGTGAAGGCCAGGGAGGATGGGGAAGCCCCACTGGGCAGGGAGGGAGCCCTGGGAGTTAAGGGGACAAGGTACAGCAGGTGGCTTGATCCAGGCAGTGGGGGGCAGCAGGGACACAGTCAGGACAGGCAGGGGCTGGCAGGCCCAGTGGGACCCTTCCAGCCCCTGGCTGCCACAGTCCCTACTCTGCCCTTGAGAACAGGTGATGTGGGCAGGCTCAGAAGCCAGCTTGGTTCTTAGTCATGCCCCTGATCACTGGCCCTCTAAGGGCAGGTCAGAGCAGTGCACATTACAGGGGGCATTAGCTCTCGATGTGCAACTGCGCAAACCACATGCTAATGTTAACACCAATTACAAGTAGCACGTGCTAAGTGTAATGTGTAACAAGGCCCTGAGAGTGCCAGAGGTTTGATGATGGCTGTAATACAGATATTTACTCTGTTGAGAGCTGCACTGAAAACACACTGATTCCTGTCTTGCTGACAGTCCGGTTGACTGTCATTCAGTGCTAACCCAGGCTGAGGTTTACATGGGATTAGCGTCAAACTCCTGTTACTGATACAGCAGCACAACTGGAAGTTTCAGCATGCCAGAATGTAAACAATAATATGTGCTTTTATGGTCTTGTTCTAGGTGGGAAGTCAGCCACTGAGTCCCTCCTCACAACAATCGCAGCAGGAACTCAGCCCTTCCCAAATGCAGACCAACACATCAGCACAAAACCAAACCCTCCAACAGCAGCAAAGCTCCTCGGTCCAACACACATACTTACCCAGCACGTGGAACTCATTTCGTAGCTACCGTAAGTATCAGGAATGTGGGAACAGTGCCACTGACTCCCTGTAGCAGGCACATGTCTGTCCTTGACTGTGGATTGCCCACACATGCAGTCTAAAAACGCTCACACAGGGGTGACGTGAAATGGGCTTTTCATGCCAAGTATAAATAACTTGTTGTACAGTTCTGAGAGGCTGGAACTGTTATGTATCCTTGAGCAGTGCATGCTTAAGGAGTTCTTCATCTGTGGTGACAACAGGATGTGATGTCTAGAAAAGGGCCAGATTCTCAGCTGATGGCAGTTGGCAAAGCTCCACTGAAGTCAAGAGTGCTATGTTATTTTCACTATTAGAAAACTGGTTCCATGTGCCTGATTTGTTCAGCAAGGAGGACTCAATCTTTGCAGGGAAAATTCACAAAAAGCCTAACATGTAAATCTGGCCACCTTAATCTTGCAACCCATAGAGACAGCAGATGCCAACATGCAATCACCATTTCATTTGAGCAGTCCTGCTGCATTGCATCCTGGAACCTCTCTTTCCACTTACCTCCACAGAAAAGCAGGATGATCAGGGGGCATATACTATAGCAGTCTCTGGGCTTGCTTTAGAACAGTGGTTCTCCACCTTTTTAGACTCAAGGCACCCTGCCATAACTTTTTGTGAATTGAGCAGCACATCATTTATATATTGTAGTGCTTACCCGCTTGAAGAGCGGCTGGGAAGGAGGAGCAGTCGGCAGGGAAGAGCCTGCACTGCAGTGAGTGGGGAGAGAAGGAGCAGCTGGAAGGAAGAGCCTGTACCTACCTCTCTTATCTCCTCACTCCCCACAGTACCCTTCAAAGGCTGTCATGGCACCCTGGTTGGGAGTCACTGCGTTAGACCTTCTGACCAGTCTTATCCTCTTCCTTACTAACCCATGAGAGTGTTTGACTATATTTTTTCCAATTTCTACCTTTTAGCATCTGAGATTCAGATGATGGCCATCCCACAGGGTCAATATGTGATCGCAGAGACTCCTGTCACCACAGTAAATACAGGGCAAGTGAAAGCAGTCACCCAGGTAAGCAGGGGGGTGCAGCTTTTGTTCTGGGGGGAGAAATAAAGCTTATCCATGAGGTCTAACCATATTAGAGAACACCAAAACAATAATATGGGGCACATCAAGTAGAGAACATGGTAATGGTAGTGTCACAATAGGGGAACAGTTGTGTTTAAATTGGAAGCTAACATGAAAACTGAGTGTGTCTGCATAGGAGTGTGTGGCAGATGGGATTACATAATCTAAAGCATAATAGGCTTTCTGCAGTACTTGGACCAGCTACCATATTGGGACAGAATCCATAGCCAAGAAGGCAGTCAAGAAGTTATATGACATACCTGGTCAAAATTGCCCTGGAACAAGGAGGAATGGATTAGGGGTTTTTTGGACTCCTTAACGTAGAAAATGATTTGTTTAGTAGGAAGGAAGCAGTCATGTCCTTCCAGGAAAGCAGGTTATTACTTTTGAAATAATAGCATGGTACCTTAAGAGATGAGGAAAACTGAAGGTGCTTGCAAGTTGTGAATTTGCCACACACCCCCACACACACCCACACCCACACACACACCCCCACCCACCCACACCCAC